AAAAAAAAAAAAAAAAAATACAATGAAATGAAGAACTATTTTACTGCCAAACTGTCAACCTTAGCTTTGAAGAACATATACTTGATCTCAAGATAAAAGGGGGCATATTGCCACCTGCAGCTCCTTCCTTAGACCACTTGCTCACGTGCTGAGTCACTCTGAACCTGACCCGACAAGCCACTAACTCATTAAGGAAGAGACAAGGGAGCTGGGTTACTACTCTGCTTCTCCCGTGCCCACGTTCAGGCAGGTCCCTCCGGAGACAAAGGCCTCTCCCTACCGTCACTCAGAGCTCACCAGGGTGGTGACCCCTATGCCTACTCCCAGTTTCTCTTCTGTACTTTATATTCAGTTGGGATTTCAGATTATCTGCATGTGGAAGAAACTTTTACACAAACACAGGACATACCAGTGTGCTCAGTAATAGATCTGTGTGTGTATAAATTATCTGTGTTTATATATTATATATTAATTATGTATAATTAATATATTGTATATAATATTATATAATTAATATATTATATATTACTTATTAATATAATGTGTAATATATAATTATCTATATTTATAATTATATACATAATTATCTTGTTCCATTAGCTTTATTTTTTGGATATGTATATATCCAAAAAATTTTATTTTTATATATATAGTATATCCAAAATATAAAGCTAATGGGACATAGGAACAAGACTAATTATTATAAAGTCACTGCATCTACTGTAGAACTGTAGGATTTATCTCCTTGGCAACCTGCATTTTCTTTCTCAGAGGTGAAGGAAGAGGCCACGAGAGACGGCCACCTTCCCCACACGAGATGAGACTGGCCTCCAGCCCCTGACTCGCAGCCCAGACCCAGGAGGCTTACCCTGGGTTTAGCAGCCTCAACTGATACTATGTTTTTTCTTTTGTCAGACAGAGTCTTGCTCAGTCACCCAGATTAGACTGCAGTGGTATCATCATAGCTCACAGCAGCCTCAATCTCCTGGGCTCAAACGATCCTCCCACTTCAGCCTCCTGAATCTCCAGGAACACGAGAGCCCACCACCATGACACGCAGCTAACTTTTTCTATTTTTAGAAACAGGGATGGGGGTCTTGTTCTTTTTGTTTACACTGGTCTTGAACTCTTGCGCTCTAGTGATCCTCCCACCTCAACCCCTGAGACTGCTAGGATTACAGGCATGTGAGCCACCTTGCCTGGCCTGATATTAATGTTTTGTTACAATAAAAGCTGAGGCTTTGTTACGGGAATCCTAAATTATAAGATGAACTTTAAAAATCACTTGTGCTGAGGTTGACATTTCCTATGTGAAAACATTCTCCCAGGTTAACAGATAGACGTATCTCCGAGTTCAGCTCTGAGCCCTGGCTTCATCTTGGTAGGTATGTATTCCACAATAATATAGAAAACTCTCCAGGGGACTTGGAAATGCACTTGGCCTCTCCTTTCCACATGCCACACAGAGCCCATATCACCCACATCTCACCGAGGGCCAGCTTGGCCATCTGCAAGCTGCTGGTCCAGGACTCCTTGATGGCCGGGGTGAAGGTGTTGAACACAGCAGTGAAGAAGGTCGGCCGCCCGGACCTGCCAGGAATGAGACACCATTCACTCTAGACAACGTGCTCCATCCTATGAAATTAAATGACCTTGGCCTGTCTGATATAATCAGCAAACCAAAACAACATGCATATCATAACAAAGAACACCTTTTTTTCTAACATTGGCCAGAAGGTTTTGTTTCAAAGTTACTACTGACTTGTCCTGTTTCCCCGGGAGCTGTAACTGAATTCTGCAACAGTCCGCAGCTCTGATTTCCTCTTCTTTCTTCAAAATAAGTCTTTGTAAACCTGATGTCCAATCATGGGCTACTGACTGGTTTAAGTTCTACAAGAGAAATAAATATGTACATTTTTTTAATTATTAAGGAAAAAAAGAGGACCAGCATAAAAGTAAGGTTGTAATGCAAAAAACTCAGGGAGATAAGAAAAAAAAAAAAAAGAAACCAAAAAACTCATATCTGATTGTGGAAAAGAAACCCTTAGGATTCAGGTCACACATTATAGTGTGGCTGAGCCCTTTCTCAGAATTGACACTCAAGTCTACTTGCAAAAGGAAGAAAAGTTATAATTAAACAGTTTCACCTTATCCAAAATAACAAAAAATGTACAATCAGATCAATTCTTTTTTTTTTTAGAGACAGAGTCTCACTTTATCGTCCTTAGTAGAGTGCCATGGCGTCACAGCTCACAGCAACCTCCAACTCCTAGGCTTAGGTGATTCCCTTGCCTCAGCCTCCCAAGTAGCTGGGACCACAAGTGCCCACCAGAACGCCTGGCTATTTTTTTGTTGCAGTTTGGCCGGGGCTGGGTTCGAACCCGCCACCCTCGGTATATGGGGCTGGCGCCCTACCCACTGAGCCACAGACATTGCCCAAATCAATCAGACAAATTCTTACAGTCAAAATGAATTCTCCCTTGCGGCAGCACTTGGAGACATAATCAAATACTTACACCATGATTTAGGAGGAAAAAATAGAATCTTAAATCAAACTGTTTCCATTATTACCTGATAGTTTCCTTTAAGGTTTCCTATCAGTTGACTGATTTGGCCAATGACATTTAAGTCATGCAACAAGTTCTGCAAATCTTGATACAGTTGTCCTGGCCCCATGTAAACTTTGTCTAAGAAGTAAAGAGACAAAGGAATACAAAGGTGAAGCCCTGGCCACTCCACTGCTGGAGGGGAGAAAACACTATAGTAAATACCAGTTAATTTTTTTTTTTTTTTAGTTGGGGAGATCTAGAACTTTAAAAAAAAACAGATATTCTCAAGCATTTAGTAATTTTTCCTTTCCTAACTTTTATTTTGCAATAATTGTAGACTTACTGAAAAGTTGTCTAAAATGGCGCAAAGAGCCGCCCCTGAATGCCCTTCACCCCGCTCCCGGGAGGTTAACCCCTTCCATAAACACAGTATGACTGTCAAAACCAGGAAATTACAGTGAGATGGCGCAATGAACTCGTCTGCAGACCTTATTCAAATTTCACCCGTTTCCCCACCAACGTCACTTCTCTGGTTCTGGATCTAATCCAACTTGTCACGTCTCCTAAATCTCCTCCAATCTGAGAGAGTCCCCTGATCTTTCCTCCCCTTTCTTTGTCAGTTTGACTGATGTCTTGTCACTTCTAGTATTTTTTAAACATCATTGATAAAATAGATATTAGCAAGAGACACCTAGAAATAAATGACATATAAATCCGAACTAACTCTCCAACAACTAGGGCCACCCAACATCAACATGAATCCCCACCCCGCCCCCGATCGTTCTTAAAGGTTTTTCTAAGAGGGAATAAAAAGGGCTTGTCTACGATGACTCTGACATGGAGTGACACACGTCCCGGGGTCCCAGGGCCCAGATGAGAATAGCTGGCTTCACGTGGGCCACGGGAGGGGACCTCAGGCCTCTGAGCTTGGTTCTAGCCATTCCTCAATGTTGTGTACCAGAAAGGTGTAACATTTTTATTTGTCAATTAAAAAATAAGTTTTAAACGTATATATATATGTGCTACAACTGATGTGAACTTATCGAGGGAAGGGAGAGAAACACGGTTTTCCCGGGCAGATGTAAGATTCTTCTCTACTGAGATGAAGAGGAATTTCTCTGCCTTTACCCAACGTGGAAAGAAAGTGAAGTTTCACATGTGCGCTCGAGCATGGGATGTGGTTTGCAGAAGGGCACACCAGGGAACACACTACTGTACCACGCAGCGACACAGGACACACTAGTTGCACAGGATGCAGTGTCTACTCACACTTTAGAAAATGACAAAGAGGCTCGGCACCTGTGGCTCAAGCGGCTAAGGCGCCAGCCACATACACCTAGGGTGGCGGGTTCGAATCCCCAGCCCGGGCCTGCCAAACAACGATGGCTGCAACCAAAAAAATGGCCAGGCGCTGTGGCGGGCGCCTGTGGTCCCAGCTACTTGGGAGGCTGAGGCAGGAGACTTGCTTGAGCCCAGGAGTTGGAGGTTGCTGTGAGCGTGATGCCATGGCACTCTACCCAGGGGGATAGCTTGAGGCTCCATCTCAAAAAAAAAAAAAAAAAAAAAAAATGACAAAGAGCAGAACACACAGCAGTGGGTGTTTATCAAATGGCACTTTCCATTTAGGAAATAATTACTTTTATTTTTCTGGCCAAAAATATTGATAAATTTAAAAAATGCAAATCAGATTTTTGTTAGTGTTGATTTCCAGTCATCTACTTGCAAATTTCTGTGTGTTTAAGCTGTGTGAGTCAAGTTCCTTGGTGTTGTTCAGACACAAAAGTGCTACGTTTCTGTAGAAGGGTTTCCCAAGCCTTTCTCACGGACACTGCCCCTGTTTCCATGGAAATCCCTGCCATGCGTTTGAAAATTCAGCGTTTGTCAGCTAAATGGAATCTTGTGTGGCAAACAAGGAGCGGACTGTGCAGCCAAACCACAGCCCAGTACCCACAGAAACCTGGGGGAGGCTCTGGGATTCCCAGTGCCTTGGAGGTTCCTGGAAGATGTGCCCCTGCATGAGCCCCATGCAGAGCTGAGGGAGCTGCAGGGGGAAGGGGGGGGGACCTCCTAAGACATGGGGCCTAGCTGAGCCCTCTCCACCCATGCAGAGCTGAGGGAGCTGTAGGGGGAAGGGGCAGGGGCCTCCCAAGACATGGGCCTAGCTGAGCCCTCTCCACCCTATATGAGGCTCCTTCCACAGCTCCTGCTTGGGCTCTTTGGGGCCCACTCCACCTCATAGCATGCAGGTTTCTAATTGCAAAGGGAATCCCATCTGGGTTCCTGCTAAGCCCCCTGCCCTCCCCAGCAAAGGGCACACACAGGCAGGGCTGGTCCCTTTCCCTTCAGCTGACCACAAATCACATTTCCCTTGAGTTGGAAACACAGCTCAAGTCTGTGGAGTCTTTACACTATACCCAGGGAAGAGCCAACCAGGTGACTCAACCACAGAATTGTGGGTGCTGTGGCCCATCCTCAGGAAGGGGCAGCACACGGCGGGGTCCACTCCCGACAGAGAGATCCTGCTCTGCACAGCTTGCCTGCTGCAAAGCATGTTCTAAAAGCAGCTTCTTGTTTCAATTAGCAGAGTAAAAGATTCCCTCCACCCATCAGGTGCTCAGAGCGAAACCAGGGTACAGACGGGAGCCCTGGGTCAGTGGGACAGAAGGCCACAGTCTTTCTTCCTTATTTGTTTTGTTAATTTGTAGTGCTTTCTTTTCTTTTTTAAATAGTGGTAAGAACACTCAACATGAGATCTATCTCTGAACAGTTTGTGAATGTGCTATACCGTGTTGGTAACCTGAGGCACCAGGAGGCTGGACAGCAGATTGTTAGAACCTATCAGCCCCGAAACGTCTGCCTAGGTGTCTGGATCTCAGCAAGATGAACTTTCGCCTTCTGGGATCGCCATAGTAGGGCGACTGCCAAAGAGACCCTGAGGCTCCTTCGACCAGCCCAGCATGCGTGTGACTCATCTGTGTCACAAGCAATCCTTGTAACCACCTTTGATGGCTACACAGTAGGTCCGGGCAACTTGGACACCAGATATCGGGACGGACAGAGCTCTCCGTGGGGCTGGGGCGTCCTCCCATCTGGGAGGCTGCATTAAGACAAAGCCCAATGAAACTTGTATCATCATAATCTGTTAATGATAAATTATGTTATTTTGAGGTGCCAAAGTACGGTGCCCTGTTTCTATTAAGAAGTGTGCCAGAGCGCACCTGTGCGGGTGCTGGTCAGTCTGTCTCCAACCACCAGGAGCTTCACTGGGGGACTGCAGGGCACAGTACTTGGCTGAGGACAGGCCTACAAAGTATAGACAGCTGGGAAGGTACAGTTTTATTAGAAATTTAGCACTGATTGGTGACTATTTTTCATTTCACTCACTCAACCAAAATTCAATGAAAGCCACTGCATGTGTGCTGGACAGTCAGGAGGGAAACCAGCAAGACTGGCAGCATTAGGAGGAGAAGAATTAACTAAGTAAATTCAGATAAAGCCCCTTACATACTCACTAAGTATGAGTGCCTCAGCTTCTCAAAGGCATTCTCACAATAGGTCACACAAAAAGGCGTTATGGGTCCATGTCAGTAACAGATGAGGGTTGGACACACTGTGCTGAGGCCTGGGTTGAGCCCAGAAAACAGCAGCACAAATGAATGGGAGAACAATTTACCCTTTAAAGTCTCTGTCTCAGCGAGCGTACAAAAAGATGCCCAAGAAAACTGCCTTCACTGAGGCTGTATCTGTTGTGTTTCCATAGAGACACGATACATAAAACCAGTGCAGTCTAAAAAACATAATCGTGTATGTTTTAACCTCTTTTTCAAAGTCCCCTTAACTTAGGATATGACAATAGAGTTCCCAATTCAGAGCAAAGATTTACTCTGCGGTGGAACCGATTTCTCTGTCATAGCCGAGAGTGGTCCACACCCACTGCTTCTCCTCTGCCTTGTCTGGGAGAAGCTCCTGGCAGCACCCAGCTCAGATGGAGCAGCGAACTCACTTTCATCTTTCATGTATTTTAAAAATTGCATTTGTATCCTGAGACGCTACTGTATTCCTTGATCACTTCTAAGAGTTTTGTAGTTGAGTCCCTGGGGTTTTCCAGGTATAAAATCAGAGAAAAAATTTGTTAAAATGGGTTGAATGATCCTGCTTTATGCTTTTTCCTATTGCTGGTTCTGATCTTATTCAAAGTTAGCTCAGTATAAACCATAAATCCATAAATAAGGAGAGGAATAAGAAAATACAATGTGTCTAATATATATACATAGTATCTATTTTATGGATCAAAGTTATAAATAACTATTGGAACATAGGAAGGCAACCTTAATTACCAATACACAGTAAGACTGCTAGAATTGGCCCGGCGCCCATAGCACAGTGGTTATGGCGCCAGTCACATGCGCCAAGGCTGCCAGGTTCGAGCCTGGCCTGGGCCAGCTAAACAACAATGACAACTGCAGCAAGAAAATAGATTGCTAGAATTATACAATACACAAAGGAATTTTTGTTCACAAAACCAAGACACAAGCTTGATTAGCAATCAATATTTTCAAATACGTTAAAAGGATTTCAAAGGACTTTTAACAAGACATTCAATTTGACCTTGAATAAAATTTTAATGAATCATGTCAGTTGGAAAAGCCGTTTCTCTTTCCTGTCTTCCTCCCTGTCCTCTCAAATCAGCCCTCTGTACGTGTCTCATTTTGAAATCTGGAATACAGTTTGGTATTTTGGTTGTTAGTTGAACGGGTTTGATGAAGGCACACACTACTTTACATAGGAAATAGGATTTAGTAGTTAGCAATGAGAGATTAAGAATTGTAATAATACAGCAGAAGAATCAGCCCAGGAGTCAGATCACTAACATGAATGACTCTTAATATTAGAGCAACAAGAGAAGTCAGAGAGATCCCACAGCAAACTGGACAGTGTGTCCCCGCAAATCCAGGTGAGATCAGACGCAGCTAGCAAGGCTGGAAGCTGTAAAAACTGCTTCCTTGCTTCTGAACATATCAGAAACACAATCATCTGAAGGATTAATGCTCATTTAAGACATAAAAAAAGTTCGCTGGAAATTCCTGTTCACTCTGTTTTAACTGGTCCCCAATTCAGGGGCAGAGACCCAAAAGTGAAAAAGTAAATAAAACTCAGCTAGTCTTTATTTGGATTTTTGTAAAAAAAGAAGAAGGAAGAGAAGGAAATGATTTTACACTAAGATTCAAATCTACACTCTGAACAATGTTTAGTCAGAATATTATAAATATTACACAATGCTAAAAACATTTCCAAAGTATTTTGACATCTTTCTCTCCTTTCACCTCAGGAAATTTATGGACAAGCGCTACCTACATGGGGAAACTCAAGTAAAGAGGAATGAAAGTGGCTCCCAGCAACACGAGCTGGTGAGCAGCAGAGCTGAGCTACAGCCGAGGCATGCAGACCCTGCTGTGCTCCACAGGAAGCACAGGGCAGAGAGCACAAGACCCAGGGGAATGAAGGCGTCTGATGGGCAGAGAGCTCAGCAGAAACCCGAAGGTGGCCCAGCAGCAGCTGGAGTAAAGCCAAAGATTAGCAACCAGCCAGGGCTGGTGGCTCACGCTGTAATCCCAGCACTCTGGGAGGCCAAGGTGGTTGCTTGAGCTCAGGAGTTTGAGACCAGCCTGAGCAAGAGTGAGACCCTTGTCTCTAAAATCAGCCAGGTGTAGTGGCGAGCAACTATAGTCCCAGCTACTTGAGAGGCTGAGGCAAGAGGATCATTTGAGCCCAAGAGTTTGAGGTTGCTGTGAGCTGTGATGCCACAGCACTCTACCAAGGGTGAGAAAGTGAGACTCTGTCTCCAAAAATATAAAATAAGAAAAAACCTCGAAGATTAGCAACTGAAGTGGCTCTGTTAGGAAACAAAAAATAAAGATCCTTAATACGCCATTATCCCCAAAGATTTACCACCTTAACCTCTGAGGCTTAGAAACTAGAGCCTCATTGTGTCAGAGCTTAAACTTGCCCCACAGCTTGCAAAAATATTAATGAAATTGTCACTTACGTGGCTTCACGTTAGCAACCACTGCCAGACTCTCGGGTGCGTGCACGATGGGGTACCTGCCGTGCTCCCCAGTTCCCTGATTATTGCCGTATTCTATCACTTCCACGTGCCCAAGGGGAACGCTCCACTTTAGTAAGTACCTTTGGCTGGTGATCGCGTTGCTCTCATGCAAGGTGCTGGAACAACCAGAAGATTATTTTAGAGTCATGGTGGGGCTAAGTTATGGAACAGTATATCCAAGTGAGAAATATTCTAACTGTTGAATTACCATGCTTCTGATTTTCTCATCAACCGTTACCATTTGGTGCCATAATAATTAGATGAGAGGGTAGAACTTTTCACTCTAATCCAGAAAACGCAGGGGAGAACTGCAAAATGACCTATTTCCCAGGGAGCTCTGAGGTTTCCAGAAAAGCTTCAGGGGAGGAAGTTGGGTGCCTACTAATGACTCTCTAGACAAAGGTGCTCAGCCATTCTAAAGGATTCTACGACAGGAAAAGTCTCCCGTGTGGATAGAGATACTCTGTTTCCCCAGAGTTAATGCTAAAATTCTTTACTCTAACATAGTCACATGATAATCATTTTAATCGAATTCAATACTACCATTACATTTCATAATTAAAATATTTGTCGAGTATATAGAAAGTAAATGAATACCCAATACCTATATAAATTATTTCCTGATTTTTATCATAAAATAGGACATATATGCAGAGAGACATAACACACATACATACAATCTAGCAGAAACACCCAGAGCAATCTTTGTGTGGCCCAGGATTCCCCAGCAAACCCAAGAAAACCCAACCCCCCCTTGCAGAAGAAACCAGTATCACTCTTTGTGATAATCATATTTTGCTTTTCTTCAAAATAAACTTTTAAAAATAAAAATAAAATAAATAAAAATGTAGACAAGGATAGCCCAAATGCCAGATGCTGTGCTTTAAACTGAAACACCTGACTCACTGGGGCCAATCTGTCCCCCACCTCCCACTGCCCCAGAGAACCTACCATCTATTACAACATCTGGTCCATGTAGAAGGGGAAGGGGACAAGGGTCTTCAGACACAGTCAGAGGAAAGCTGCATGTTCCCTGGACTAGGGTGTGCCTCCAATTAGCACAGCAGAAAAGCCCACAAATTCTCACCAGAGTTTCCATTTATCCTCTGAATCTAAAACCTCCACTTCTATAGAGAAGTTTTGGAATCAGGATGTCACAGAGCCTATAAAAGGGTTCCTGGAGGCTATTTTAACATTTTTGCCTAAATAAAGGGGGATCCTCATTGTACCAGCTTCAGGCAGCGCTGCTAAAAACCTCATGCTGACAAGTATCAGGGTGACTGAGCTGTCACTCACTCCCACTTTGTAAAAAAATGTCACGTTATCCTTGGGGAGGGAGGGCAGGACCTCACCTCCGGCAACAAGCCCAGCTGGGTTTCTTTTAAAATATCGATCTCTACTCATCTCTGAAGTACATCATTCCTGTCAGCTGGATAGTTTTAAGCCTAACTAGACCTGCAAAAGAGCCACATCTTCACGGCCACTCTTCCAGTGTCCTGTGGGTCTGCAGCAGCGGCCAGCCTTCCCACCACATCTAGACAAACACTGGTTACAAATGAGGAAAAGATTCAACAATAATCAGTTACAGGAGCACAGAACTTCGCTCACCTCCCTCATCCATCTCTCACCCCGTTTTTCCCAGGTGCTCAGAATGGGTGTTAATGTCCCAGAAGAGGGAGCTGCGTGGATCCAGCTGTGCTCAAGGCCAGCTAAGAACTAACAGGAGTTCTGTGGAAAGGGGCCTTCAAGATAACAAGCTTGGAAACCATTCCGTTAAGTAACTTACTAGTCTCTACAAGCAGAAGCACCTGCTGATATCTTAACTAGGAAAATAGGACAGCCATCGTACTCCTAACACTCGGTCCCTGAACTCCTCCCCAGCGCTGCCCAGTCTGGGCCCTTCACAGCAGCCCTCATGCATCTCCACAGCCCGATGTAAGGAGAGCGGGTGCGGCCACATCCAGGGCCATGAAGGCCCAGCCCTGGCTATGAAGCTGACCAACAGGACTCTTGGTTTTACAAGAGGGTGCCCATCAGAAGGGGCACATTTTCCAGGCTTATATTGTAGCTGCCACAAAGTAAGTGAGGTGGATGAGAAATAGGAATAAAAGCCAGCGGCTGCTGCACAGTCTGAGCACCAAGTCCTGGGCAGCTTTTCAGTGACCACTCCTACTTCACTACCACAACCCCATGAGAGCACATCATTGCTGCACTGTGATTGCACAGGGGCGTCTGAGGTGCAGACAGAGTGGACAACTTCTCCACACTACAAGAGGCAGGGCTGGGCTCCACTCTGCAGTCTGACAGCCGGCAAGGGTGAGCTCCTCCGAGCTGATCTGCATGACCTCCCTACCTGGGACTCTGATACAGTGGTGAGGAGGGCGGCAGGTGCCTGTGACAGCAAGTGAAGGGGTATGCTTGGCTCAGTTTTTTGTTTAAAATAGTCGGTCACTGCCACCAGCAACCCAGAGGATCCTGTATCCAGCTAAACTGAGTTTCATCTGTGATGGAGAAATCAAATGCGTTACCAACATTCACATGTTGAGGAAATTTATCATAACTAAACTTGCTCTCCAGGAAATACTCAGACCCATTTTCCATAATGACCAGCACAGTGGTCTACCACCAAAGTAAACTCACCCAGAATTTATCAAACAAAACCTAACTTCCACAGTGGTGAAAGAATTAAAAGTATCCACTGGACCTTTGAAAAACATGACAACCAAAACACTACCATACCTATCAATTCTCTCAATTACTGTGAATGGCTGAAGTATGAATGTTTTTACAACAACAAGTAAGTAAGCAAGGAGACAGTTATGTTAGTCAGTTAGATGTAAGCATTCCACATTGCATATCAAATAGCACATTGTACCCCATAAATGCATTAATGTACACAGTTATCATTCAATAAAGCATTAAAAAATAAAATATCAAGCACTGAAATAGTATCACCTATACAAAATCTCCCCAAAACTAAAAGTCCAGGACTAGATGGCTTCACATCAGAATTCTACCAAACTTTCAAAGAGGAACTAGTACCTATGTTACATAACCTTTTCCAAAACAAGGAAGGAATCCTCCCCAATACACTCTATGAAGCAAATAAGGACCCAACAAAGAAAGAAAATTATAGACCAATATCATTAATGAATATCGATGCAAAAATATTCAATAAGATCCTAGCAAACTGAATTCAATGATACATCAAAAAAATTATACACCACAATCAAGGTGGTTTTATCCCAGGGTTACAAGGTTGGTTCAACATACGTAAATCTATAAATATAATACACCACACAAACAAAATAAAAAACAAAGACTTTATTATTCTATCAATTGATGCAGAAAAAAGCTTTTGAGAATACCCAGAATCCTTTCATAATTAGAATACTTAAGAAAATAGGCTAAGATGGGACCCTTCTTAGTCTGATAGAGGCTATCTACAGCAAACTCACAGACAATATCATATTAAATGGAGTAACCCTGAAAACATTTCCACTCAGATCAGGAACTAGGCAAGGATGCCCATTGTCACCACTGCTGTTCAACATAGTAACCGAAGTCCTAGCCATGGCAATCAGGCAAGAGAAGGGTATTAAGGGTATTCAAAGGAGGTCAGAGGAGGTCAAACTCTCACTCTTCGCAGATGGCACGATTTTTACCTGGAAAACCCCAGGGACTCAACTATAAAGCTCTTATAAGTGATTGAGGAATACAGCACTGTCTCAGGATACAAAATCAATACTTAAAATCAGTAGCTTTTATATATGCCAACAATAGTCAAGCTGAAAATACAGTCAAGGACTCTATTCTTTTTATAGTAGTGCCAAAGAAGATGAAATACCTGGGAATTTATCTAACAAAGGAAGTGAAAGATTTCTATAGTGAGAACTATGAAACCCCGAGAAAAGAAATAGCTCAAGATGTTAAGAAATGGAAACACATACCATGCTCATGGGTGGAAAGAATCAACATTATTAAAATGTCCATATTACCCAAAGCAATCTACAGATATAATGCAATCCCTATCAAAGCACCAACGTCATACTTTAAAGAACATTAAAAAATAGTACTTCACTTTATAGGGAATCAGAAATAAAAACAAATCAGGATGAGGGCGCCTAGCTCACTGGTTAGGCCTCCAGCCATGTGCACTGGGGCTGGTGGGTTCAAACCTGGCCTGGATCTGCTAAACAAAACAAACAAAACAAAATAAAAACAAATCAGGAGGCATCACATTATCAGACTTCACATTATAATATAAATCTATAGTATCAAAACAGCATGATACTGGCACAAAAATAGAGATGTAGATCTATGGAACAGAACAGAGAATCTAGAAATGAACCCAGCCACATATCGTCATTTGACCTTTAAGCCTAACAAAAACATACCTTGGAGAAAAAATTCCCTATTTAACAAATGTTGCTGAGAGAACTGGCTGGTGACCTGTAGAAGACTGAAACTGGACCCTCACCTTTCACCATTAACAAAAATTGATTCTCACTGGATAAAAGATTTAAACTTAAGACATTAAAGTATAAAAATACTAGAAGAGAGTGCAGGAAAAACTCCTGATGATATTCGCCTGGGAAAATATTTTATTAGGAGGACCTCCCCCCCCAGCAACTGAAAAAACACCAAAAATATATTACTGGGATCTGATCAAGCTAAAAAGCTTTTGCACAGCTAAGGGCATTACAACGAAAGCAGACAGCCTTCAGAATGGGAGAAGATTTTTGCAGGTTATGTTTCCAACCAAGGTCCGATAACTAGAACCCACAGAGAATGCAAACTAATCAAACAACCCATTTCTTTGTGGGCAAGAGACTTGAACAGAAACTGTTCTGAAGATGACAGGTGCATGGCCTACAGACACATGAAAAAATGCTCATCATCTTTAATCATCAAGGAAATGCAAATCAAAATCACTTTGAGATACCATCTAACTCCAGTAAGATTAGCCCACAACACAAAATCTCAAAACAGCAGATGCTGGCATGGATGTGGAGAGAAAGGAACACTTCTACACTGCTGGTGGGACGGCAAACTAATACGGTCTTTTTGGAAACAAGTATGGAAAATCCTCGAGGAACTAAAAGTTGACCTACTGTTTGATCTTGCAAACCATTGCTAGGTATCTACCCAGATGAACAAAAATCATTTTACACAAAGACATTTGCACCAGAATGTTTACTGCAGCCTAATTCATAATAGCCAAGTTGTAAAGGCAGCCCAAATGTCCATCAGCCCATGAATGGATAAACAAATTGTGGCATACGGGTATTATGGAATACTACACAGCCATAAAAAGAGGGAGACTTTGCGTCTTTTATGCTTATGTGGGTGGAGCTGGAACATATTCTTCCTAGTAAAGTATCTCAAGACTGGGGAAAAAGTATCCAATGTACTCAATACTGTTACAAAGCCAATATATAAATATTTACACATTCATACAAATGATAAAACACAAAGATAGTACAGAAAGAAAGAGGGGAGAAGAGGAAAAGGAGAGGGGAGATGGGGGAGGGGGAGGGGATGGAGGAGGGCTGGTGGAAGGAGGGTATTTGGCTGGATGTCACCTGTTGTGCACAATGCAAGGGTGCATTTCAAAACAACTAAGAGTATATTATAAATGTCTTACCATAAAAACGAGTAAGTGAGGTGATGGTTGTGTTAATTAGTTTGATTTAAGCATTCTACATTGTCTAACAAATCATCACATTGTACCTCATAAAGGTATACAGTTATGATTTAATAAAAATTAAGTTAAAAAATAAATAAAATAGTCTGTCGTTCTGCCAAGGTCCATGGTATAGACATGCCCTTCTGGAGTTCAAGCTGCTGACAATTTGGCCACTGGCTCCCAGATGGAATATTTAACAACTGACTCTCGCAAGACAGCACCACTGAGCTGGCACCACTTCAGCCGTCAGCAGGTATTATTTTCTACAACCCCTAGAGCCTTATGTGTAATTTTATATCAATTCCCTATAATCTATCTATACTTGAAGATCCTTTAACTTCTCAAATATCTTTGACTTACTATAGGATTCTATGTGTTGGAGAACAATTCCGATGTCAAACTATTTTAAATGAAAGAATTGGCCTAGGCACGGTGGCCCACACCTATAATCCTAACACTCTGGGAGGCCAAGGCAGGAGGATAGCTTGAGCTCAGGAGTACGAGACGAGCCTGAGCAAAAGCAAGACCCTGTCTCTACTAAACAACAGAAAAATTAGCTGAGGGTACTCCCAGCTTCTTGGGAGGCTGAGGCAGGAGAATTATTTGAGCCCAGGAGTTTGAGGTTGCTGTGAGCTAGGCTGAGGCCCCGGCAGTCTAGTGCAGGTGATAGAACAAGACTCTCTCTCAAAAAAACTAAACAAAACAAAGCAAGCAAACAAACAAAAACATCTGCTAAAATATTACTCATTTTCTTGGTTTACATCAAATATGAATATATCCAATTTAATTATATAAGAGAAGTGCTGGCTTGGCGCCTGTGGCTCAAGTGGCTAAGGCACCAGCCACATACACCTAAGGTGGCAGGTTTGAATCCAGCCCGGAACTGCCAAACAACAATGATGGCTGCAACCAAAAAATAGCCGGGTGTTGTGGCGGGCGCCTGTAGTCCCAGCTACTTGGGAGGCTGAGGCAGGAGACTCGCTTGAGCCCAGGAGTTGGAGGTTGCTGTGAGCTGTGATGCCATGGCACTCTACCCAGGGGGACAGCGTGAGGCTCTGTCTCAAAAAAAAAAAGAAAAGAAAAGAAAAGTGCTAATAAATATATATAGAGAGAAGAAGCTCTCTATATATAGAGAGAGGAATTTAAAAATGGCCATTTTTAAAAATAGAACTGTAGAATGATTTAAGATAGTTATTAAACAGTTCAATTTAGTTTCTGGCTCTAATATCAGCCTTTTTAAAAAAGCAGATAAACCTCTGTGGATCTCACTTCTACCAGCAGTGACCTGGAGACATACCGAGTCCATTTCAAAATGCGCTGTTTGTGATAAGGGTTCCTTCCATCTCACCACTACGTCCCAGCACAGAGAATTAACACAGTCACGCATGTGCTCTTACACACAGACGGCATGCGACTACGAGACTAACAAGGGCAGCGCCTCCTTACCGCGAGCTGACCGTGGCACACATCAGCACATCGTTTAACATGAAGACGCGGCGTTCTTTGGTTTTAGTGATCTCTCCCCTGTCGTTGTAAACCGTTTCTATCATATCATCAGATCGAATGAGGTATCGGTTTCCACTGCTGAGAAGCTAAATATATTCGAAATAATACTCAATACGGTTACCACAACTACAGTTACCAAAAAAAAGAAAAAGGATGAGGAAAAAGTCTTGCAAAATATAAGAGTTTACGGCGTCACAGTTCTATAGGTGTTTTTCTTTAAAGAGAATCCATACAGTCCCCTCACACTGCATGGACCACGCGGCCTTCTGCAAGTGACTTTAGAAATGTTTCACAGACATCAATGTTTGCAGCTACCCTTCACCTGGAAGGAGTCTCACTCTCCCAAAGAGCACAGCTCTGTGGCTGTAAGGAACGATTCCTTCCTCTTCACCTACGATTCTCCAAACTTCCCTGCACATGAGGTTCATCCCTGGTAGACTGTCACGGCCCCGTCAACCGTTCATACCCATAACACCAGCTCAACCGGGCACAGTTGTATGAGGAAGGAATTATTTTGTAATCTTACTTTTCCCAAAGCAAATGTAATTGTGTAGGCATCTTAGCTTCTTAGAATATGCCGTATTTTATTTCTCTGGGCCAAACAAAATACCATCGGTTCTTTGGAAAGATGCTTCATATCAACCAATGAAACAATACAACTGTGGAATCTGTCCTCCTGACAATGACCCAGCCAACAGGCCCTCCACCCAGTGATCTGATCCCACATCTACGCCCGCCGCCTGGCACACGGCATCGGTGGAGACGCCACCTCACTGCTGGATTTTCCTGACACACTCCCCAAAGAATGTGGCCGTGAATGCATTTATGCCACGTTCAGCTACCTGCCCTCACGTCTCCCTGAGCCTCTGCACCTCCTCTGTCCCCCTTGGTGTATTCAGATTGTAAATAACAAAAACTATGTCGAGAATATAACTGGGATGCAATTTTCTGCTTATACAAATTTCTACATAAATCATTTGGAGAATGAGGGAAAACCCGTGGTTTATAATATATTACCATGAAGTTCTCATATGCCAGTGTGAGGGAGAAAATGACCTCTATGGACAAAAATCAAAGGCGACTTTAGCAACGACGACTACTCTATATAGTAATTTAATACAGCTCAGATAAATTAACACCTCCCTGTGGACCAGGCCTACACAAAGTCAGAGAACTGCAGCAGGAAAATGATTTGTAAACATAAAGCTGAAAACCAGCCTTGCAGAGGGACTGGCTTCCTACCGTGTTCACTTCACTTTCCATGACAAATACAGCTTAGTCCACACACGTGCCGATATAAGCAGAAATGTATGGAAATGTGTAGAGCTTTGATTAACACTATCGAAAATGAATACAGTATCATGAAAGTAAAATTAAGATATAAGAGTTGCTCTTTGCCTTTCTGGGGGTCCTGGATCCATCTGAGGATCTAAGGAATCCATGAACCTCTTTCCGAAGGAACTGCAGACAGGTGGTTTTGCACACAATTCCCAGTGGCTGCTGCCAGCACTTCTCCATCAACACTCAATGAAAAACTCTGGGCCAAAGCAATTATTCCAGACGTTTCAAAAGATTAGTTACAAATGGATGAATAGCAATGCTTATTAGCACAAAGCAAAAATAATTTCAGAAGAGAGGTGAAAAAAATCTGTCTTAACCTTGTTCAGGTATTTTTCGTTAATGGCTTTTGCTATTTGTTTAATTTCACAGCGTTGATCAGCATCTCTTTTTCTTTCATTTAATTTCTCTGCTAATGTTTCCAGCTCTGTCAGAGCCATCTGAAGAGGCAGTCTGTCAGGATGTCCTCGGGGTGTGTTCTTCAGCATGTCCTGTGAGCAAAAAGGTAGAGTGGTGGGCGGTTACCAAGCGCGTGTAACTCCTACGATCAACCACGTCTCAACCACGTCGCCTGGAAACTGACAACTGGAAAGAGGCAATGACATCAGTTATTCTGGGGAAAAAGAAAGTAAGCACTTGGGAAAGGATAACAGACTGAGTCACAACTTGGCTGAACATTTCGGCAACTCATTTTGCAAAAACAAAATCTAAAAAATAGCATTGTACAATGAAGGGCACACTAAATACGAATGTGGCACAAGCTCAGAGATATTTTGCTCTCTGTAACCATGTTCCAGATAATAATTAGATTGTTTTTCTCAGTTGAGCCAGACCAAGAAACTCAGGCATCGATGGTCCAGCTACTTTTTACAGAAACTCAGTTTCCCAGTGTCAAACGTGCATCAGTTTTGCAGTGCCGACTGCCTTACCGCAGTGTCAATTGACAGAACAGGGCCTCTCCTGGTGCCTCCACTTCATATGGATAAAGAAGTCTGATTTCAGGACAACAAAGCTGCCCTGTAGGATGGTACGGTGGCCAATACATCATGTGCATTTGTCTAAACCCACAGGCTGTGCAGCACCAGGGCAGAGCCCTCATGTAAACTGTGGGCCCTGGGAGGTAGGAGTATGTCCATGTAGATTCATCATCCAAACAGGTGCACAGCGGGTGTGGGGGGTTCTGTACAAGTAGCCAGAGGGGTACAGGGGGAGGCACTGAACCTTCTTCTCAAATGTGCACTGAACCTAAAAATGCACTGAAAACATGGTCTTAAAAGAGAAAGGAATCTGCGTCCTCTCTCCGCCCACCCGTGAAGGAAGCTGCGTCCTCTCTCCGCCCACCCTGAAATTTGCAATGGGGGGCGGGGGCAGAAGTGGTTGTATATAAACTGACCTAACTCTGTGGCTGCGGGTTTAGAAGAACATGCCCAAAAGTGTTTTGGAACCCAAATTCTTGCGTCTGTTATAACTGGATTTCCAAGTTGAAGGATGTTCCTTCTCAGTGAATTTAAGTATTTAGAGGCAAGGAAGAAAAAATAAATATAAAAGGAAAGAGTGTAACAAGTACTTACAACAACAAACTTTTAAGCTTTGGGCTGTAGATAATGGACAGGCATGAAAGTCCTCCAAGGCCCTTGCCTGCAACGTTTCCACCAGCTGCCTCTTTCCTGGCTTCACTGCCCAGAGGACAAGGAGCAACCCAGCACCTTTCCAGCTGGGTCTGCCAGGCAGGTCATTAGCATCCCCAAGCCTCAGTCCCTAAGGCGTAATAAGGAACACCCCCAGGGGGCTGTCCAGGGCCAGACGGAGGCAAAGGAGCTGCGCATTGCAGGACCCACACAAACGACCAGCAGGTGCAGCCGTCGCCCCTCAGGATGGCCCCGTGGACAGACAGGGGCTCTTTTCTGTGGCTTTCACTCTCCACTGTTCTGGCTCCAACAGCCCTTCCCACCCTTTCCACTTAAAAGAATATGTAGGGCGTCTAAAAAGTCACCTCTAAAGTAGCTATAGAGATGGAAAACAGGGAATTGTAGCTAAATGTACCTTTATTTACAAAATATTCATTATAAATTTTACAAAATATTCTCAATATTCTCTACATGCTGGCCACACCTTTGTAAAATTCGATAACACACCTCCATGTAGATGCCTTACCCCTCTGACCACCTGTAACTGCCCAGACAGAGAAGAGGGCCCTGAGAGGTGGCTACTGCCCCATGGATAAGTCACAGCAGAGACAGCAGCCGGCCTGGGAAGCCGGCTTGAGCTTGTGAGCCCTTACCTGGAGCAGGAGGATGAACTGCGGGAACCTCTGCACAGGCCTTGTCATCAAGCTGTAGAGAGTGACCCGGTCAGGACTGGCCTCTTGGCGCTGCTGCAGAGGAAGACACCAGCTCACCAGGCTGTGGGGCACAGTGCCCTCTGCCAGGACACCCTCCTGCCCAAGATATGCTCCTGCCCAGGATGCCTTCCTACCCTTAGTGCCCTCTGCCAGGATGTCCTCCTGCCCAAGATACACTCCTGCCCAGGACACCCTCCTGCCAAGCCACAAGCCACAAGCCACCCTCCTACCTACCCTTGGTGCCCTCCTGCCAGGCCACCTGCCAGTCCAGGACACCCGCCTGCCCACGATGCCCTCCTGCTCTTGGTGCTCTCCTGCCTGGGATCCCCCATGACTCAGGACAATCAGGAAGGAACTCCCAGCTACTCAAGAACCTATACCTCATCTTTAACTGGAAGAAATTTTACCAAACCTCTTTCAAAATACTCTGTGCACCTGTGCTGGGGAGAATCTGCCACTCTCATGAAGGGGCCAAACCTCACACTTGGGCTTAGCTCTGGCGGATTCCAGGGCTGTAAGGGGTGTCTGTGTTCTGACCACTCAGCCCAGGGGGTGGCCGCCTCTCCCTGCAGGAAGGAGATGCCAGGTGGCCCTGGACCTTCGCTACCTGAGGCCACTGGGCAACGCTGACCTGGAGCAGCACCCGTGTGTCTTCAGCTCCCTGGCTGCAGAGCAGCACTGGCAACAAAGGGCCCTGCCCAGCATGGCCTGGCCCCTCAGCTCCCCAGGCATCAGGCTCTGAGGTGCCTCCAGGCTGTGAGATAAGGTCAGAGTTCATCCTCCCAGGCAGCTGGTGAGCTGAGGGGTGGGCACTGTGGTCACAACACTGGACATAAACAAACCCTCAGAGGAGATGCATTGTTAACTCAGTCCCTGCTGTCTTTCCCTGAGAGAAGGAAATGTGGCCATAGCACCCAGGACAGGGAGCTTGCAACTCTGCACGAGGGGGCTGTTGCCTAATCCCTCAGCAAACCTGGATGGGGCCCTGGATGGAGAGTGCAGGACCCAGTGCAGCAAGCATGGGACCCCTGCTGAGTGGGAGCGGGGAGGGGGCATAGTCCAGCCCAGAGGACATTGCTGTGGGCAAGAATACAGCCCAGGTAGCCTTAGCTGCAGTGCCCAGGAAGACAGCCCATGCTCAAGAACACTTTGTCCCAAGGTTTTCTAATGTAAATGAGGGCCTCGCAAAGCAGACAGAGCCAGCAGTTGGGGCTTTGAAGCCTGAATTCAGCCTGCTTTCCGTGCGGCAACCCTTCCTCTCACAGCCTCTGACCTACATCTTAGGACTGGGGAAGGCTCCCCTCACCGCAGAGTGGGAGGGACCTCAGGAGGAACAAAGCCATGCCTGGGCCAGCTGGAATCTAGACGTGGGTTTTTATTACTCCTGAGGTAACGCTGAAGGACACCAAGGAATAGGTAATTTCAGACCAGATCTTGACCTTCTTTCTTCCCGTCCGTCTACACACTTAAGGATGTGCAAATTAAAGGTGTGTTGGAAAAGCCACACTGGGACCTCAAATTTGTTTTCCTTTGTGCCTTTAAACCTGTGGCTGGTACTGAGACCTTACGCACTGAGAGGCAAGATTCAGCACGCTGTGATTGTGCAGTATTTTGAGCTGGACCTTGGGCTGTCCTCCTGGGCACTGCAGCTAAGGCTACCCGGGCTGTCCTCCTGCCCACAGCCATGTCCTCTGGGCTGGACTAGGCCCCCTCCCCGTCTCCCACTCAGCAGGGCTCCCACGCGTGCTGCACTGGGTCTCACACCCTCCATTTAGCAGATATTAAGACACAGATTTTTTTAAATGTGCTTACCTTTAAAAATTCAAGAAAAGCAGGCTTCGTAGCACATGTTTTCTTGAGGACTGCCACAGCGGTGCTAAAATTGTTCACATATTCGCTGTAAGCATCAAGGACCATGGATTTAGAAAACTGAAACACAGGAAATCAAGGAGGAAGGTACTTGTGAGTACAAACGTTCTCTTTTATAATTTAAAAAATTTGCTCTCGGAGGCTGAGATGGGTGGATTGCTTGAGTTCGCAAGTTCCAGACCAGCCTGAGCAAAAGCAAGACCCTGTCTCTACTAAAAGAAATTTTTTAAAACCTGAGGTGAGAGGATCACTTGAGCCCAAGAGCTGGAGGTTGCTGTGAACTATCATACCAAGGCGCTCTACCCAGGGTGACAGCTTGAGACTCTACCTCAAAAAAGATAAATTAAATAAAAATTTAAAAGCTCCAGGCAGAATTTTAAAAAAATAAAAAGATTTGAAACCTGCTCCCAAATGCCCTTCCAGCCACTGCAATACTCTCACAGGATGAAACTTTATCCCGGCCATGTGATTTTTCCTTTAGCCTCGTCAAGAATGGTCTAGATGGCTTGCTGGACCACTTTTGTAAACTCCAGTGCAGTTTTGGGCATCTCTGTTCAAAACCATGGTAATCTGGGGTTGAAACGGCTCCTGACCACAGAGAAATACAGATGGTGATCACAGGCAACCTTCTTTAAATTCCTGCCAAGCCTCACTTGGTGAGCTCCAATTCCAGGACTCCAAGTGAGACTGCCAGGTAATTCATGTAATGCAGCCCCAGGATCCTCAGAAACCAACACTGGCCACTCCCTGCAGGTACGCTGGAGGGGTGAGCCCATCTCCCAGGCCCCACAGACATTTATTTCCCAAAACACAGAGGTTTTAAGAGGCAGAAACATCTGCCCTTGATGTCAGAGAGTAAAAAATGTATTCCGTGTTATATTCCTAAAATGCTACAATTCCTCTAGGACAGACAGGCAGACAACAGCATCCACAGAAAGATCTGATGTGACTCACTGATGGAGGAATGCTCTCATCTAAATTATGTGTTTTAGAACAAAAGATTTCTTTTTCTGTTTTAAAATGTTGGCAAGATAAATATTTAAAGACTAGAGACAGAATTGTAGTTACTACATAAAATAGCCCAAAAATGCTATAATAAGATAAATATCCAATATTTCTCTTTTTTGTTTTTTTTTCATAACATCTATGAAGGGTATTATGCAAATATTTTAGTAAGAATGTTGTGTCCATGTTCTACTCAAAATGTCCTACAACTTACACATTTCATCAAGAGCACATGTGAATAATTTAGAAAAAATAAACACTTTCATGTATCATTATTACAGCATTCATTTAAGTACACTTTAAAAACACTTGCAAGCTTACATCCTTTTGATACCATTATTATCTTAAGTAATTACAGAAATGGATCTGTTTTATCCAGAATCTCCTACATTTAGAAAGAAATCTAACCAAAATATGATGTATATAATTCACACTCGGAGGAGAGATAAAATGACTCAAGACTGCCAATGCAGAAGCTTCGTGCGGGGGCTTCTGGGCAGCAACTGCTCCTCCCACCAGGAAACGCTGGTGCAAGCTGTTGCAACATCATGTTCCTGTGTCTCCACGCAGGGTCCAACGTCTGTGTCTACACAGCAAAAAACTCTAAATCAAAGAGCAAAGTTTGAGGAAACATATTTTCCCCGAATGTGTATTCTATTGTTCCCAGGCAAGAGAGAATCCTGCACACAGAAGGTGTGACGGGGATTAGGAAGCGAGCCCTATACAGCTGAAATATGGCCATGTTACAGCGCTGCCTACAAGCTGCTCTTGGTTCAGCAACAAGGGGCATTACTGGGGCAAACAAGACCTGAAATAGTTCACGTTCTACGTCTCTCCGGCAGCTCCCTGCCCTGAGCCTCCACACGCCTCCTTGGGCTCCTTGTCCAGTGCCCACCTCTTGTTTACCCAGGGCACACACGCGGCCAGGGGAACTGCACATTTTCAGCTCACTGTGCTCGCAGAAAGCAGCACTGGTCCTGCGTTGAGACCCCACCTGTCCAGGACCAAACATCAGCCTAAGAGGAGGAAAAAGGACCTGGAGGTAATTACCGAAGCCACAAAGACATCACCGATCATTTCCACGGAGTCCCACTCGGACACGCGGCTGGCCAGCGCGATCTGGAACATGGAGTGGCACTGCAGGATCTCTTTGACGCGGTGGAACACCACCTTCAGCTTCCTCTCGCTCAGAACCTTGGGCTCCATCTCAGACAGCGGTTTCTCATAGTGCTAAGACACAATAGGAAGGACCGTTCAGACTTTTTTAAAAGGGTGGATAAAGAATGTATAAATATTATCTTGGGTTCATAACAAATCATGTCTTTTGATGTCAATATACAGACACGATACTTAAATTATTTGGAGAATTTTGCAAATTCTCATATTTTTTGGCTCATAAACATATATGTACAACAAAAACGACATGTTTTTAAAAGGATAATAAAAACATATATATTGGCTCGGCGCCCATAGCACAGTGGTTACAGCACCAGCCACATACACCAAGGCTGGCCAGTTCGAACTCAGCCAGGGCCGGCTAAACAACAATGACAACTGCAACAAAAAATAGCTGGGTATTGTGACGGGCGCCTGTAGTCCCAGCTACTTGGGAGGCTGAGGCAAGAGAATCACTCAAGCCCAGGAGTTTGAGGTTGCTGTGAGCTGTGATATCTACTGAGAGCAACATAATGAGACTCTGTCTCAAAAAAGAAAAAAAAGTATGTATTATATGACACAGTACTCAGGTACCTCCAAAATCCTCTTCAGGGCATCCACGTAGTTCTTTTCACTGTCGACAACTGCACCCAGGATACACCTTCTTACAACCTGTTGGAAATTAGAAAGCACACTAGTAGAAAATAGCTTCAGAATACATACAGGTAAGTTTTACTTCTGTGCTGAGGGTTTGTTGACAAAAAAGTTTTTTGGAGTTATTTTTATTTTTATTTATTTATTTATTTATTTTTGAGACAGAGCCTCAAGCTGTCCCCCTGGGTAGAGTGCCATGGCATCACGCTCACAGCAACCTCCAACTCCTGGGCTCAAGCGAGTCTCCTGCCTCCACCTCCCAAGTAGCTGGGACCACAGGCGCCCGCCACGACGCCCGGCCATTTTTTGGTTCCAGCCGTCATTGTTGTTTGGGGAGTCTGGGCTGGGGATTCGAACCTGCCACCTTAGGTCTATGTGGCTGGCGCCTTAGCCGCTTGAGCCACAGGTGCCGAGCCTGGAGTTATTTTTAAATAGTAAGTAAAGGAAACTTCCAAAAGCCTTTAAAATACTCTAAATGGTAGGTTAATGAAATAATATTACAGATTCAACACATGCTTTCCTCAATTAATAAATATATATTTATATAACTCTACAGCAGAACGAATAAAATTATAATGCTTAAAACAAATTCATTCACTTATGGGACAATAATGAACTGAATTAATCGACTGTATTTTATGTGTCTAACACCAAGTTTGATGGTATATTTCACACTTAATTATAAAAAATGTCCCAGTCTTGATCAATGAATGTTATTAACAAGACTTATCAAAAATCCTCCTTCCACCCAATACCCTCCTTTGATGGGATCTCACCTAGTGTACACAATGCAAGGGTACATTTCAAAACTAAGAGGATATTATAAATGTCATACCACAAAAATAAGTGAGGTGATGGTTATGTTAATTTGATTTAAGCATTCTACATTGTATATCAAATCATTACATTGTACCCCATAAATGTATACAGTTATGACTAAATAAAAATTAAGTTAAAAAAACTAAAATCATCCTTCCAAAGTTACAGAAAAACAGAAGTTCATAGCAGGTGAAAGAATAGATTTGTTTTATTTTTGCAAAGATCTTTTGAACATCCAAAGTCCATCTACAGGCTAAGACTCCTGTCATTTCGAGCAAGACTCCTACTATCTAAGATGTTTGTATTTCAAACACTGGTGTTACTTTCTGTTTGGTTTTCATTACTGAGACACACACAAGTACAAACTCCTGGTCCCCAGGAAGGCCACTTTCCTCACCTCAAACATACTCCAGCAAGTCAAGTTTGCCAATCCAAGGAAAACAGAGCAAAATAGGCAGGAGGGTTGCTTCTCAACTAGAGCACACATCCACGCATGTGAACACACGCCCGACATCACACACACACCAACATAAACCACACTAAATGCACGCACACAGGCACACACCGCACACAAACGCACACACACAGGCACACACCGCACACAAACGCGCACACACACACAGGCACACACTGCACACAAACGCGCGCACACACAGAGGCACACACCGCACACAAACTCACACACACACAGGCACACACCGCACACAAACACACACACAGGCACACACGGCACACAAACACACACACACACACACACAGGCACACACCGCACACAAACACACACACAGGCACACACCGCACACTTACACACACACACCGGCACACCAGGGGAGCTCCAGGCAATCCCTGCACCTAGTGCTGCTATTTGGAGACCCTGCAGCGCCACCTGGCAGGAGGAGAGAGCATTCCCCACAAAGAAAATTCCTCCAGTTAAGCAGAGACCAGGCCAACCAGGATAGACAAGAGGATTATTCTCTTTAAAAAAGACTATTCAATTCACAAAAGTAGGGTAAAAATCAACCTTTCTAGGATACCTAAAAAACAAACATGTATTTTTTTTTAAATACAGATATGGCTGGGGTTAAAAACAAACATACATGAGATTAGAAGCCAGGAAGCCTCAGATCTCAACAGCACTGTGGCTGATCCACTGAACGGTCCAGACCCCCAGGCTTGGATTTAAGGTGATGGCTCAGATCCCAGGGACCTAGCGACTTCCCCCAAGACACTCCTTCCAGAACTGATTATCAGGCACTACCCCACAGCTCTTGGGCCACAATATTTGGAAGTTGGTGGGTTGGTTGGCTGCTTGGTTTATTTGTTTATTCCCACCCCTTGAGATGATATTAGTGGATCAGGTCAAAGAATCTGGAATTGGTGCAATAATTTTAAAAAGAAAATCAATCTCCTGGATTTCATGGCTACTGCACGTGAAATTAGGCTTTGTCTGCAAAACGAAGGAGGTAGTCTGTGAACACCAGAGCAGAGAACAGATTGCCACCCTTGTCTCCAATATACACACCACTACTCTCAGAATCTCTCAGACCCACACCACTATTGTCTCTTCATACACCGATACCCTGACTCAGTCTCCCCACAGACCCCACCCCTATACACTGTCTCCTCACAGACCCACACCCCTACTCACTGTCTCCTCACAGACCCTCACCCCTACTCACTGTCTCCTCTCAGACCCTCACCCCTACTGTCTCCTCACAGACCCTCACCCCTACTCACTGTCTCCTCGCAGACCCTCACTCCTACTCACTGTCTCCTCACAGACCCTCACCCCTACTCACTGTCTCCTCTCAGACCCACACCCCTACTCACTGTCTCCTCTCAGACCCTCACCCCTACTCACTGTCTCCTCTCAGACCCTCACCCCTACTCACTGTCTCCTCGCAGACCCACACCCCTACTCACTGTCTCCTCGCAGACCCTCACCCCTACTCACTGTCTCCTCTCAGACCCTCACCCCTACTCACTGTCTCCTCACAGTCCTCACCCCTACTGTCTCCTCACAGACCACCCCCTACTCACTTTCTCTTTACCGACCTCCACAGCCCTATCCGTTTCTTTGCCTGTCCGTCTTTAACTCAAGCTGCTCTCTTATGCTGGGTGGTGTGTGCATTCCTGACTCCTGGTGTCTGGGTCCCCATCCGCCCTTTGGATCCGAGTCTTGTGGCACCTCCTTTCTCAAGGTGCCCTCTGACACCCTGGGCAACATTTCTTCTGTGCTGCTAACTCATTTGGGCTTTTTTCCTCTTACACTTCACAGGTTCTCCGAGACCAGGCCCTTGCCCCACTCCCCTCTTGTGCCGTCAGTAACCAGCCCAGAGACCCAGGTGAGGCGGGTGTCCTCGTGGTAAAGGGACAGGGTAGATGACTCTCCTGATCGGAGGCATCATCGGGATGGCAACAGTGTGTCAGGAATCTACTCCCTCCTTACAACTCCTGAGGTTATGATGGGGTGTGTGAGCCTGACAGTGAGGATGGGCAGGAAGTGCCAGATTCTTGGTTCCTGGAACAATCTGTCAGTAATCCCCCTCGGTCCAGCAGCTTCCTAGGTCCCACCGCCCCAGTGGACTACACAGAGGCATCAGCAGCCGAGTCGTGATCAGGGGAACTGAGTTCAGAAACAGGACTCTTCTTCACATAGCTGAGGCCATGGTTCAGATCACTGGCCTCCTCTGAGCCTGGGCTTTCCCAGAGATAAAATCAATGTATCCCAGGGATGTAGAGGATGAAGTGCACTGAGGCCTGTCTAGGACTCTGCATGGGGCTGCCCTGATCACTTCAAGGGCAGGCACTGAGCACCTGTCCCTAGCTCTGTCTACGCCCCGTCCCACCTCAGTGCACTGCTGGGAACACATGCAACCCCTCATCACCCCTGCTCCATTCTCATGAGCCTCGACTCCCCTGGCTTCTCTTCAGTTCAAATGAAATGTGAGTTTCCTATTTTGGCCTGACCAGTTATCAGCAGCTCTTAGGGAACCTGTTCGATCTTTGTTCAAACTTTGACCTTACTACTAAGCATTTTTATGTTGTTTTTCTTCGATCTGACTGTGCTCTATGTGGCTCCATCTGTGTGCCTCCCTATCTCTCTCTGCATCTACACGTCCAGGTGTGTATCTATCTACCCTGCTCAGTCTCCATATTTGCACCATGCTACCACGGGCAGAAGAACTCAAATCCCATCCAAAAGCATTAACCTTGCCCTCAAAGCCCTGCAACTCTGATACTGGTCTTGTTGCTCAAGTTGTCTCTTCCCTTTACCCAAAGACAAGGAAATGGAAAGACTACCAACCAGCATGGAGCACACTGTACTGGGAACAGCACTGAGGGCCAGCCCTGCCCATCCCACCTGCTGCTGAGATAAACCCTCAGGCATCGGCGTCAAGACAGCTTCTGGGTGCTTGCAGTCAACATCGATGAATAAATTCTGCTCTTCCTCAGGACAAGCTCTATGATCTTAAAAAAGGCCAGAATGCATGAGTTTTACATTGAAATAATATAGTCACAACAAAGTTAGCATAGTAAAAACAAGGTGTCGGGTCAAGGTTGTGTGTGGACATTTCCATTTTCCACGCTTACTTTTCCATCCAACTTAGGGTAGTAAAATTTTAATAAACCAAATACAATATCCTTCCCATAGGGTAATACAGTATTTGTCAGTGTTTGAAATTGTCAATATTTGAAGTTTAATTTCAAAAAAGCAGAAGTGCTGCTTGAATAGCTAGATGGTAAGTGGCAATATTTTAGAATTTTAAAATTTTAGAATACTTTAGAAACTAAACATTTTAATTTCTTAATCTATAAAATATCACTATCAGAAACAAAGAATAGCAGCTAAGAAGAAATGCTCAGGTGAGACTTCGTACATTTCTGGACTTTATATCTGCTTCTCTTTCTATGTAAGTCTGAAAAAGGGCAGCTTTCAAAAAATCAAGCTGTTTAAACTAAAACTAGTGTTTTAAAATTTGGATACAGGCTCGGCGCCTGTGGCTCAATTGGCTAGGGCGC